CCGCTGCACTTCTCAACTACCCCGCCCCCTCCTGCACACATTGGATATTCTTCTTTCCCCCTCCCCCCCTTTATGGCAGTATCCTTCGTTCGGGTTTGATGGACAAGGACGGCGCCAACTTCGCTCCCTCGCTGGTGCGGGTGGGGGTGCGCTCGCATCACAGCGTGGAGGCGGTCAGCTTGGATAACATCGTGGACAGCCGGCTGGGGGGCGGGGGAGGGGGGGGAGGCGGGGCGGGCGGAGGAGGAGGGGGGCGGGAGGCGGAGCAGGAGGAGGAGGAGCTGGGGAGAAGGTGAGAGGGATGGGAGAAGGGAGGGGGGAAGGAAGGGGGTGGAGGGGCAATGCGGGTGTCGAAGGCTGGGTCAGGAGGTGGAGGTGGAGGAGGAGAAGCGGCGGGATGAGTGGAATAGGAGAGGAGGGACGAGGTGCTGCTGCTGTTGGCGTTGCTGCAGCAGCCACCTTGCTTCCACCCTCCTTCGTACCCCGCCCCCCCCGGCACCCCGCCTTCCTCCCCGGTCTCCCTCCCCCCCAGGGCGGTCGTGCTGGCGGTGGCGGTGCTGAGCGGGACCGCATGCGCGTTGCCATCCTGGACGAGGCCAACATCGTGTGCTCCACTCTCTCATTCGCGGGCAGCTCGGTGTTCTACAGGCTGAGGTGGGGGGGAGAGGGGGGGGGAGGAGGAGGGGGCGAGTGGGGAGGGGGAAGCGGAGGAGTTGGGGGTTTGGGGGAAGGCAACCCCGCGGCGGGGTTTCCTACTACGGACGGACGTTAACCACAACTCAACCCTGACCCTACAGCCATCTGGCTCGTTAGCTCACCCCACACCTGCACCCCCTCCTGACCCTCCCCCCCCCCCAACTTACCCTTCCCCCCTGCAGTCGCAAGTTCGATGTGGTGGTGATCGACGAGGCGGCCCAGGCGGTGGAGCCATCCACACTGGTGCCGCTGGTCATGGGGTGCAAGCAGGTGGGGGGGAGGGGAGAGAGGGGGGGGGGGAAATAAGGAAAACTGACGAACTGAAAGACTCTCGGGTTCTCCATGGGTTGCTAATTGAACCCGGTCCAGAGGGGGGGGCGGGGGGGGGGGGCGGGTTGAGGTACGTGGTGGCTGGTGGGTTGTGTGTGGAGGTGGGGAGAGGGGTATCGGAGGTGGGGGTTAGGAAGAGGTGGGTTGCGATGAAGCGAGCTGGCGGCGTCGCTTGGCGGCGTCTGTTGGCGGGGACGGCGAAGCTGCGGCCTCGACGGACTGCCCTCCATGTGCCCTCCCGCAGACTCTCAAACCTCCTCTCCTCTACACCCCTCCCCCCCCCCCCCTCCCATCAGCTAAATGTACCACTATCACACCACACATTGGACATTCTCTTTTTTCCCCTCCCATCCAACACTCTGCATTGTGGCACCCTGCCGTCGCCTATCCTCATTGCCCTAACCTGTGGTTTCTTACGGTTTGGTACGGTACACCCCTCCCCCCCCCTCCCCCCCTCCCTCCCCCCCCTCCCCTCCCCCCCTCCCCCCCTCCCTCCCCCCCTCCCCCCCTCCCCTCCCCCCCTCCCCCCCTCCCTCCCCCCCTCCCCTCCCCCCCTCCCCCCCCCCTCCCCCCCTCCCCCCCTCCCTCCCCCCCCTCCCTCCCCCCCTCCCCCCCTCCCTCCCCTCCCTCCCCCTCGCTCCCCCTCCCTCCCCTCCCCTCCCTCCCCCCCCCAAAGGTGTACCTGGTGGGCGACCCGGTGCAGCTGCCCGCCACCGTCATATCCACCCGCGCAGTGGAGCAGGGCTACGACTGCTCGCTGTTCAAGAGGCTGCAGGTGGGAGGGAGGGGGAGGGGGGGAGGGGAGATGAGAAGTGAAGTGAAGCACTGACCCGTGTCCTGGTTCGTGCTGTGAGCGCATGCGCGGGGATCGAGGGGGAGGGAGGGGAGGGGAGGGAGGGGGAGCGAGGGGGAGGGAGGGGAGGGGAGGGAGGGGGAGCGAGGGGGAGGGAGGGGAGGGGAGGGAGGGGGATCGAGGGGGAGGGAGGGGAGGGGAGGGAGGGGGATCGAGGGGGAGGGAGGGGAGGGGAGGGAGGGGGATCGAGGGGGAGGGAGGGGAGGGGAGGGAGGGGGATCGAGGGGGAGGGAGGGGAGGGGAGGGAGGGGGATCGAGGGGGAGGGAGGGGAGGGGAGGGAGGGGGATCGAGGGGGAGGGAGGGGAGGGGAGGGAGGGGGAGCGAGGGGGAGGGAGGGGAGGGAGGGGGAGCGAGGGGGAGGGAGGGGAGGGAGGGGGAGCGAGGGGGAGGGAGGGGAGGGGATGAGGGTGCGGGGGTGCGCTTGGGGGTGGGTTGCTCGTGGAGTCATGGTGCAACAGGCGCGCGTTCCTTACCTTCGGCTGCTGCCAGCCTCGCACTTCCTCCACCCCTCCTCCTGCATGAGTCGGGATATGGGATTGGGACTCTAGTTGCTTCACACTTCTTTTGACTGTTTTGACAGGGGTTTCGACTGTTCCATCCCTCCACCATGCTCCCTAACCCTCCCTCCTCCCCTCCCCCCCTCCCCCCCCAGACCGCAGGCTACCCGGTCCGTGTGCTAGACACGCAGTACCGCATGCACCCAGACATCGCCGCCTTCCCCAGCTCCGAGTTCTACAGCGGCAGGCTGCTCAACGGAGAGGTGAGGGGGGGGGAGGAGGGAGGAGGGAGGAGGGAGGAGGAGGGGGAGGGGGAGGGGGAGGGGAATAGAAGGATACCCAATTGTAAGGGGGGAGGGGGAGTTGGTAGGAGCTGTGGAGGAAGCCGGAGGAAGGCAGGGTTCGCTTGATCCCTTGCGCAGTGTGGACCGCAGGGCTGCAACCCGTTGCCGTGGCATGGGTGTCCTAACCCGCCGGCCGTGTATCGATTGACCCTCAACTCTTGCTGATAAACCCGGCTGACCCTCCGCTTCCCCCTCCCCTCCCCCCCCTCAGGGTGTGTTGGAGGAAACCCGGCAGCCCTGGCACAGCCAGCCCGCATTCGGCCCCTTCGCCTTCTACGATGTGGCAGGCAGGGAGTCCACACCACCCGGGGGGGCGTCCATCATGAACAAGGTGGGGGGCAGGGGGGGAGGGGGCGCCGGTTGGAGAGCGTGTAGCGTTTAGATAGGGCGGATAGAGAGACGTGGGGTTGCTACTGTGTTTTGGCATTTCCTAAACCCCCATCCCTCCCCCCTCCCCCCTCCCCCCCACCCCCCCCGCAGGCCGAGGCCCACATGGTGCTGGTGGTGTACCGCGAGCTCGTACACGCCTACCCGCAGCTGCGGCGTACGGCAAGCGTGGCGGTCATCTCGCCGTACAAGGCCCAGGTGAAGCTGCTGCGCGACTCCTTCCGTACGGCCCTGGGCGAGGAGGCGGCGCGACTGGTGGACATCAACACCATTGATGGATTCCAGGTGGGGGGGGAGGGGGCGGGGGGTCAAAGACGAATCCATACCATAGGAAACCAGATGGGGATGGGGGAGGGAGGGGGGATTTAGGTGAACCTGAGCAACGCTAAGTGCTGGCCGAGGGTGGGGAATGTCAAAGTGAAGAAACTCAGCCAAGCGCGGGTGAACGGCGGGAGTAGCTGTGGCTCTCAAAAGGTAGCCACGATAGGTTATAACCAAAGGTGGGGAGGTGGGGGAGCGGTTGGGGCGGGCGCTAGACGGATGGGTGCATGGCCGGGGTGGCTTGAGCTGCCCATCAATTGGGTTGTGCGGCCCGGATAGTGCCCCTCGCCCCTCCCCCATCCCTCTCTTACCGGTACCTCCCCTTTCCCGCCCCTACTTCCAGTACCTGTTACACGCCCCTGCTCCCTACTCCCTCTTCCTCCTCCCGCCTGCAGGGTCGTGAGAAGGACATCTGTATCTTCTCCGCCGTACGCTCCCCCGTGGCGCCCAAGAAGGGGGGCAGGAGGCCGGGTGGGTATGCATGGAAGGGGCACAGCTGGAAGGGGAAGAGACCCAGCTGGTTTGGGAGGAGGGGCGGGTGGTGGCTTGTCTGCGTGGGCCTTACAGGGCTGCTGGCGGGGACGTTTCCTGTTATGAGGAGGGGCCTGCGTGTTTTGGTGCTGACAGGTTGGGAGGTCTTTGCTTGTCTGCTTGATTGCCTTCCCCTCTGTTATCAATCGGTGTTGCGAGAGGGTACCGCTGGCCTGTTTGGGCTCACTTGCGCTTTGGGTTTTCTTTGACTCTCCCTCCCTCCCCTCTTCCCTGATCCCCACCCCCAGGTATTGGTTTCGTGGCGGACGAGCGGCGAGTCAACGTGGGCCTCACCCGAGCGCGCTGCTCGCTGATCGTGATTGGGAACATGCGGGCGCTGCAGGTGGGGTGGAGGAGGGGGGGTGGAGGGGGGAAACTTATATAAGGAATGCAAACAACTACAGTCCCAATCCCATAGCCCGACTCATGCAGGCGGTGCATTCGGAGACACTAACCTAGAAACACGCAGATAAGCGGAACTTACCGAAGGCTTGCTTACCAGAACCTTGGAGGGGGGCCGAAGGGGGGCGCATGGGGGAAAGAAGCTGCTGCTGCTGTACGGCACGTGCCGTTACTGCTTGATACCAGCACCATGCGTGTAAAAGCCCATGCAATGATCACTCTTGCGGGGGTTGCGTCACGCCGACCCCGCAACCGTTAGCCTCTCGCCCTTTTCCCCTTACGCCTCCCTCCCTCCCCCTTAACCCCTCCCCTCCCCTCCCCCGCCAGGTTGACCCCCACTGGGCCAACCTAATCCACTCCGCACTCACCCGCCGCTGCCTCTACCGCCCCAAGCCGCCCTACGCTGACTGGATGGCGGGCGTGCTGGCGGGCAGCGTAGCGGGGCGGGTGGAGCCATCGGAGGGGGAGGTGGCGGCGCTGGAAAAGGTGAGGGGGACAAATTTTTGTGATAACTGGCCGGGTTTGTGTATGTTAAGAAGACTGGCCGCGAGTCGGAACGTACTGAGATTGCCGGAAGACGAAGTGTGTTAAGAAAACTGGCCGCGAAGTGTGTGTTAAGAAAACTGGCCGCGAAGTGTGTGTTAAGAAAACTGGCCGCGAGTAGGAACGTACTGCAGGTGTGTTAAGAATACTGGCCGCGAGTAGGCACGTACTGGGATGTCGGAAGATGAAGTGTGTTAAAATAACTGGCCGCGAGGCGAAACGTACTGAGATTGCCGAAAGGTGACGTGTGTGTGTGTGTGTGTGTGTTGTGACTTGCGAAGATAACTTATTGAGAACTTCCCTCTCCCTCTCCCAACCCCCCAGGTCCGCACCCGAGCCGCCCAGCGTGCCGCCGCAGTGGGCGCCAAGGCGGGCGAGTACGCGGCACTGGACGCCACCGGGGACCTGGTGCTGGATGAGGCGGGGGATGAGGAGGAGGAGGAGGAGGAGCAGGAGGACAACAGGGAGGGGGAGGGGGATGGAGGGGAGGAGCAGGAGGCGGGGGTGGGGGCGGCAGGGGGCGTGCAGCAGCAGCGGCAGGCGGACCTCACGGGGGGTGCGGTGGCAATCCTACAGTCAGAGGCGCAAGAGGCGCCCGGGGCGACACAGGACCAAGCGGGGGCAGCAGCAGCAGCCGCTACGGCGGCAGCAGCCGGCGGGTCAGGCGAAGGAGGCGAAGCAGAGGATGACGGCGGTGCTGGCCCCAGCCCCAGTGCTGCCGGCGCCGCTGCTGCTGACGGGGACGGTGGCGGCGGTAGTGACGATGGCGGGGAGGAGGAGGGCGATGGAGATGCGGATGGGGCTGCGGGGGGGCGCGGAAGGGGGCGGGGGCGGGGGCGCGGGCGGGGTGGGGCGCGGGGCCGGGGCGGCAGCGGGGGGGCTGCTGGGAAGCGCAAGGCGACGGCCTCTCCTGCGGCCGAGGGCGGCAGCAAGGGAGCGAAGAAGGGCGCGAAGAAGTCCAGGGCCTAGGGGCGTGGCAGGGAGAGGCGTTGGGCTGGTAGATGTGGAGTTATGGCTATGGTTAGGTCAGAGTTAGGTACGGGGTGTTAGGTGATTTACGCGCAGGTATGTGATGTGCTGATAGCTGGTGGTGCGGTGAGGATACGCGCGCTGTGGAGAGCGAGCGAGTGAGGGGGCGGCACCGCGCAGCGTTTAGCAGCAGGGGTGCGGCGGGGGCTGAACGGAAGGTAAGGTGACTTTGATTGACCCATTCAGCTGGCTGATGAAGCGAGAGTGGGGCTGGATAATTGGGTATGTTGGTACGGTCTATGCCGTGCGAGTGACATCGGTTTGCAGCCTCACATGCGGTCCGGTGATCCTGGTTTGCGACATACCGGTACCTGGTAGGGGAATGGTTGCGTGACACACGTGTGTATGCTGCGTACCCGAATCGTGCACGCGGGGGTAACGCAGCGATGCGGTCTGACCCGGCTTTAATGTGGATATGGAGTGCGTGCGGAATTCACATTTGCCTCTGCTGCAGATGCGACAAAAGTGCAGTAGCAAGGTGAAAACGCCCTGAAAAGCTGAAGTGCTCACAAAGTTTGCCTCCAACCATGTATTACATCACCAGCACTGGCAGCATACTCCTTTGCTCAGCATCTGCCGTCAGTGCGTTCCCCGGGGCTCAGTTGGTTGCACACTCCTCGGCTTCTCAACACACCGGCGTCGCGGTGGAGGTTGTTGTGCATGCACAGACGGATCCCTTCGCAATGGTGTTAAAACACGTTGACATGTTGACACACGTGCGCCTTGGCATCACGTTACTTTCAGCAAAGCGTTAGAGCTGTCGGCCTTTTGGCAAGCCCTAACATGTACCCAAGTCCAAACCTCACAAGCCGTCTAACGCCAGGCCTGCCATTCCACTACCGCAATCAACATCCGCTTTTGGTCATCACTAAAGCAAGGGTCACAAACCCACACTGCCACAACGCAAGCCTCCTCTCGTTCAACACCACAGGAAATGACCTCAACACCCATAGCGTGAACAGCAAGGGAGACCTTAGCCCGGCAATCCGCAACATGCTGACGTCCTCCCATTTCAGACGGCTCTAAGAATACCTTATGCCATTGCTGACCACTGGCGCTTGCCACGTACGACTACCCAAGGCACTGCCAGGCGTATAGGGCTGCGTGCCCGCCCCCTCGTCCCTCTGCCAGACAGCATTCTTTGAATTACTTGCTTTGCGTCTGGCTGCAATGCAGCGGCCACTGCTGGTGCTGTTGCCACGAAACCGAACCGCCAGCGGTAGGATAGGGCGGCAGTAGCGGAGAAGCCCTATTCATGTAGCGTAGAGGACTGCTGGAACTAGCCACAGAAGGGTTGGTGTTGAGGACATGCCTGGCAGCAGCCCGAGGAGCCTCCTGCGGCGTGGCTGTTTTGGGTGTTGAGGCAGCGTTAGCCGGCGGGAGTTGAGGCGGAGGGAATCACCCACTGCCGGCTTGCGTTGGTGGTGGTGGGGCTGTCCTCTCATGAGGCAGATGGTGCAGCGAAGCTCCTTCACCGCTACTCCTACTGCTTCCCGCATCGCCACTCCAAGCGAAGCAGCGCTGTCAGCGCAAACGTGTGAGCTGGTGGCGGATGGCTGACGAGATGCTTCCTATTGCAAACACACGAAAGCCCTCCCCTTGTGTTAGTCCATGGAAGTAAATCTTTGCAGCACGTCATTGCTGGGCCTGCTGCTGGGGTGGCTGCTGGAGGACAGCTGGGAGATGTGCGCGAAGCTGTTGGCCGACCGAGTCCTCCAGGTTGTCATCGTCCCACGACTTATCCCAAAGCTCCTTCTTCTTCAAGTCTTCCTGAAAACAAAATTGGACGTCAGTCAGGAACGGCTAGGGACATCGACAGCGTCTGAAGTCGCGAGAGTGCATTTCTAGACGCTTGCGGGATGCGGGATGTATGATCTGTGACGCACCAGAGTTGGCTCCCAGTCTTCCTGCTGAAACTCCTCAAACTCATCGTCCTCTTCAAGCGCAACGTTGCCTTTCTTTGCAGGGTCAGCCATTGCAAACGAAGAGTGCTTATCGGGGAGGAGTTGTAAATGCCACTAATATCTATGCCCTTGACACGTTTATGGCATTTGTGGAACGGATCTGTGCCAACTTGGAACAAGAATACATGTTGTCGTACATACCAGGGCACAGCCTTTCAGACATTACAGCTCGTGTTTCATGGCACAGGAAGACGTCCGTGATCACCCCTCACCAGTGTTGTGCAGTGTTTCTGCACTATGTGAGAGCGCCACTACAGGAGGGCATGTGACAGCTGCAGCTTTCGCCCATTGAGGTGAGCACCATAACCCTACCCCACGCACAGTCGCAGGCTCGCAAGCCCTGCGACCGCAGGGCGGGCCCAACCGCGGGCGGACCTTTACAGCGAACCGATTCACTCCTGAAGCCTGATTGACAGCAACGGAGCCTCCGGGTCCTCTGTTTGCCCCCTACCCTACGGGTCTTTTTCGTCTCCCCCTACGCATATTTCCCTACGTGTCGAGCCCGGCTACCGTATTATGGCTACTACCGTTAGACGTGGGAGCATCATTACCGCTTGTGAGGCCTTGCAATCCCTGCAGTGTCCCTGTGGAGACACGTCCTGCTGGAAATTCTTGCCCCTACGATGCCTCCCGAGATGGTAAAATACTTTCGACGCCCGTGCTCGTCGATAAGCTGACAACATGGATGGCTGATGGCCGCTACCTAAATTTTGATGCTTCCTCAAATCGTGGCTCCGGTAATCTGAACCCGTATTAGGTTGGCAACTGACAACTCCCTGGACTGACTGGGCGTGTGGGCAAGGGTCCCAAGGGAGCATTCTAGCCATACAACGTTTCATATACAGTAAGAACTACGTCTAGATTGATAGCTATACAGACCAAGAGACCCAAGGAAACACCATGCTTCAACCCGTAGCATGCTCTTAGGCTACGATTATTGCAAGTTCGTTACTGTACCTATAGTCGATAGCAGCTTAATAGACAGCAATGAATGTAAGCTGGTTAAGGCGAAGCGAGGCGTCTGGTGCCATCCGGCGTAAAATTCATGAGCCGTTGCAAAGACTTTTTGTTTTTACACTAGTGATGTATGCCAGTACCTCTTCGTTGTCTTTTGTATGCGCCTATGCCCAGCACAATGACGGGGCCGCGCCGTCTCTCCTGCCGAGCGACACATCATTTGACACAAGAAACCTGCGTGGTGAAGTTGGCGCTCACCCGTGGAAAACGCCTGTGAACGAGCGCCGAATAATGAGATTGCAATCAAGAAGGCTTAATCAACTCGATACCCCTCCTGCTTCCAATAAGCTTGCGGTCGCTCTGAACATGTCCATGACGACGAGTCAGCCTACTGCCAGCCTTCCAAGCAACCCCCACAACAAAAGTGACACAGATACTTCAGGCAACAGTAGTTCTAGTACCTCGGCCACTTACGTTGGCACCGGTGCCGCCACGGCCAACATCTCAACGACGGCAGAAACCAGACCTTCCGTTGAGGATGCGCTGCGAAACGGCAGCAGCGGTGCTGGACAGGAAAACGGCGGCAGTGTAAAGGCCAACGCAAATGCAGCGGCCAACAGCAATGCTGGGGGCAACGCAAACGCTGCTACCAACAACAATGCTGGGGGCAACGCAAATGGTAGCAGCAGCAATGCTGGAGGCAACGCAAATGCAGCAGCCAACAGCAATGCTGGAGGCAACGCAAGTGCAGCAGCCAACAGCAATGCTGGGGGCAACGCAAATGCAGCAGCCAACAGCAATGCAGGAGGCAACGCAAATGCAGCAGCCAACAGCAATGCTGGAGGCAACGCAAGTGCAGCAGCCAACAGCAATGCTGGGGGCAACGCATATGCAGCAGCCAACAGCAATGCTGGAGGCAACGCAAATGCAGCAGCCAACAGCAATGCTGGAGGCAACGCAAGTGCAGCAGCCAACAGCAATGCTGGGGGCAACGCAAATGCAGCAGCCAACAGCAATGCAGGAGGCAACGCAAATGCAGCAGCCAACAGCAATGCTGGAGGCAACGCAAGTGCAGCAGCCAACAGCAATGCTGGGGGCAACGCATATGCAGCAGCCAACAGCAATGCAGGAGGCAACGCAAATGCAGCAGCCAACAGCAATGCTGGAGGCAACGCAAGTGCAGCAGCCAACAGCAATGCTGGGGGCAACGCAAATGCAGCAGCCAACAGCAATGCAGGAGGCAACGCAAATGCAGCAGCCAACAGCAATGCTGGAGGCAACGCAAGTGCAACAGCCAACAGCAATGCTGGGGGCAACGCATATGCAGCAGCCAACAGCAATGCAGGAGGCAACGCAAATGCAGCGGCCAGCAACAATGCTGGGGGCAACGCAAATGCAGCAGCCAACAGCAATGCAGGAGGCAACGCAAATGCAGCGGCCAGCAACAATGCTGGAGGCAACGCAAATGCAGCAGCC